ACATCTTTTAAATACCTCCAGGGATGGGGACTCCATCAGCTCCCTGTGCAGCCTGTTCCAGGGCTTGGCAACTTTCAGTGATGAATTTTTTTCCTCACATCCAATCTAAACCATCCCAGGTACAATTCAAGGCCATTTCCTCCTGCCCCACCTGGGCACAGGACTTGCTCACACTGAGCCAGCTGTTGACCAACAGTCCCCAGGTCATTTTTCCAATTACCCCTTGGATTATGGGGGCTTCATTCTGCTCCCCATCCCTGTCTTTCAGCTCAGGGGGCTGGGTACCCAGAGAACAACACACTGAGGCAAAGAAGGCATTAAGTACCTCAAGCCTTTTCCTCATCCTTTGCCATTGTTTCCCCCTGCTTCCAGTAAAGAATGGAGATTCTCTTTAGCTCTCCTTTTGTTCAGATATCTAGTTATGTCTCTATCTATAATATGTCTATATCTATAATAATGCCTGCTCATATGGGAATTTCCCATAAATGAATGGAAATTGTTTCTGTTTCAGGGTTTAATGCTGTAAGAAAACCATTGCTGATGTCTTCCTCCCAAAGTACCCCTACAGTTTGTACAAATCAGTTTCTGCAGACACAAATGTGACCTCCTGAAGACATGCACAACCCCCCAAGCACCTACAGCAGTGGCATGTGCCATGTCAGCTCTGATCCTGCCACAATTATCAGTCAAAAGGATAAACAACTGTCATGAAAAAATCCTGCCCCATGAGCACTAAACCTCTGAATCCTTGTGAGAATCGTGTCCTCTGCTCAGGCTGCAAGGTTTTGAGGTCAGCAGGCACCACTGACACTCTGCTGAGCTCTGCAAACCACTCTGACCCAAAACTGCCAGCAGAAGATGACCCAGATTTTAAAATAATTAATAACATCTACCCTGCTCATAATGTGTGAATACTCTTCTCTGTGCCCATGTATTGGGCACAGACTGACTGTCTTCTGGTGTAGCCAGACACACACCACATGGCTCACACTTTTTCAAGTCTGACTCATGTTGTACATATACACTTCCCTTTTATTTTTCAATCACACGGAATTCACTTCGCTGACATCCCTTGGCAGCATATGGTGCTGCCAGACAGAGGAGAGATCTGCACGGAATTGTAACGGCTTTGTTGCTCTCCTCCGTGCCCCAGTGATGTGAAACACAACCTGGGAACATAATTAGCTGCTTCCACGAGAATGCAATGATACCCAGACAGTGCTAAAAAAAAAAAAAAGGCCACAACAACCCCAATCCAAAAAAACGTGTGCGCATGTGGCGAGAGGGAATAAGGGATTGTGACTCAGTCTGAAACACAAACACAACATCTGGAAGCACTCTTCCTGAGTCTGCCTCTTTATCAGACAGATGGCTGGAGAGCCATAAGCCCACAGGCCTCTCAAAAGGTTCAAGGCCAAGAGGATAAAGTGCTACATCACAGCAGTTTTCCATTATGTCAGTTTTTCTAAATGTCTCTCTGTTCTCCCACACTCCGTTTCTCTACCCGGCTGACAGAAATCAAAAGCAGGGGGTGACTCCATCCCTCCACAAACAAAGTGCCACATCCACGGGCAGAAACGTCAGCCCAAGGACAGACTGAAGGTATCTTCTTCCAGGCCACTTCCAGGTGTGCAGAAGCAAGAGGAGTTAGGTCTAGGTCAGACTTAGTCCCTGCTTCTCAGTTCCCAGTTACAGGATGCTCTGATACTCTGGCTTTGGCAGAGAAACCAGCTTAAGAAATTCCCCTGACTCTCCTTGCTCCTACCCCTCATCCATCTTTCTCATGCCCACAGCTGACAGCACACCAGCAGGTGGAAGTATGTTAGATTTAACAAAAAAGAAAATTAGGTTAAAAATACCCCTTGCTCTGGATTGGAACAGCTCTCATTCCCTGTGGTGGCAATCCAGGATAAACTACACAGCAAACACGAGCCCTTCCACTTAGGCTGCCCTCAGAGATGTGGTACATCAACCACACAAGCCTTAGGCTGGGACCAAACAGAGGCAACGCTACGATATAGAACTGGTTACAGCAGTAACCAAAAATCTCCCTTCATCTACCCCAAGGACACACATCAAACCTACCAGTTTCCCTCCAGAAGCAAGAGACAACAAAAAACAAGTGACCAAGTAGTAGTCTAAGACTTGTTTTCACTAATCAACACTGTTGTTATCCTCATCAATAGCTACTTGAATCTCAGCAGAAATTGTATTATGAGGTACACAAACATTGCTGATTTCAAGCTGTTTGCAGTTACTTGCTACAGTTGCAAAGCCTTTCTGGATAAATCAAAGCTAAGAAGCAATGGCTCTTGGCTTTAGCACCACAATTTCAAAGAGAACAAATACTACTTAAAAAAGCAAAAAAGCATGACCCACTTAAATTCTCAAAAGGTAAACAATTATTGCTGTGACGTATCTAAACTATGTCTCTTGTGTTCTATTATTTATATAATGTGAAAGGTGTATGAGCTGTTGCATTCAGATACAAACTGCTTGTTTCAAAGTGCTTACAATGCAATCACACCCAACCACTAATGACAGAGAAATATGCAAGAAAGGAAAAGCAACATGGAAACAAAAAATGAGTAGTTTTATTGAGTATGGCCTTTGTTTCTAGGGATATGAAGGGGAAAGAGTGCAATGGTTCTCTGTGGTGCACCAGGGATGTTGTGTCCTCAACAACTCAGCACATCACTCTCTCCATTATGACCAGAGTGAATCCTGGATGCAGTGTTATCTGGCTGCTCCAGTGCACTTACAATCTATTATGAATTTAAGTAATAAATCTGACTTCACAACCAGCCGGGGACATGTGACAGTACAAGGGGAGAGCCAAATATTCCTGTTGGTTGCAACAGAGAAATAAGGCAAAACTGCAGAAGACGCTTTGTTCTCCTTTCCTCCTACCTGAGCTCTGCCAGAAATAGCTGGTTGTGTAAAGAAAAACAACATACTGTCAACTTCTTGACAAGATGTATGAATGTTTACAAAACACTCAAGAACTACAAACTTTCATTTACCTGTTTTTACAGACACTCCTTTGCAAACACAGTGGAAAACACCTTCCTCTGCCTAAATTAACCAACATATTTATGAGTTGGTTGAGTTTGCTGCCAGAGAAGAGAACAGCACCTCACACCTACCCTGGCCTTACTAGAGAACTGCACATCATCTCCATGAACTACGCTGCTAAAGCAGCCTGGAAACGCTGGTGGCAGCACAGAAAGATCCCATTAGGGACTTGCAATTCTCAACCAAATTAAATTAGCTTAATATATTTACATAAAAAGAATGTATTTACATAAAAATAATATATTTATATAAAAATAATTGTGCTCTGTGCAGAGAGCTCCAAGTGACACTTAGTACTGCAATGCCCACTACATCATATGCTTTCCCCGAGGATCTCAGTGCACACAGAACCAGGTTTCCCCACCCAGCTCGTCCTTGTACACAAACCCTTCATTCAAACCCAGGCTCCTCACGCCTTCAGAAGACAGCAACTATTTACACACACAAATGAAAGAGGCATTAATTGAAACATTGGCTTTTATTTGCACAATTAGCACTAAAAATATTTTTATGGGTTAATTAGACTTCATGCAAATTGGATTGAGAAGATTTAATTGGGGTGTGATAACCTGACTATTACAGTTCCTCTGTTGCAAATACACACAGAGCTAAGTGCTGTTCTAAAGCTCTGTCCTCCCTTTCAAACTGTTTTGGGTTTCAGCTTTTTCAGCTCTGGAAAGCTCAAATGATGGATCTTTCCTTTGCCTGTACCAGTCCTGAGGTGGGTTGACCCTGGCTGGATGCCAGGTGCCCACTAAAGCAGCTCCATCACTCTCCTCCTCAGCAGCACAGGGAGAGAAAAATAGAATGAAAGGGTCGTGGGTCAAGACCAGGACAGGGGGGGATCACTCACCAAGTGTAAACATGTTGAATCAGAGAATTATCATGTCACGAGCTGCTCGTGATGAGAGAAATTTCTACACTTTACAGCTGTCCAATATTTGGGCACAGAACACAAAAGTTGAAATGTGCTCAGTTTTCTGTGCCTGAAGACAGTACAAACCAACTGCCTGGGAAAGCAAGAAACCAGCCCAGCATCCACCAAAGATTTTATGACACTCTTCAGTGAGCCCAGGTCTGTGGCTAACAGCAAGCACAGAGCCAGGGAAGCATTGCCTGCATCTGTACAAGGGAAATGCTCTGCGTGGATTAATGTACAGCAAGGTTGTGAGAATTCATTTAGATGATATCTGGGAAGAGCAAAAGAATTTCCACTGAGAGCAGCAAGATCTAACTTCACTGTGTGCCGTTGAAGACAATCCTAGTGCTGGACAAAGCACTGACTTTGTGTCTGTGGAACAACCAGGTCAAGTGTCAGTAAGAACACACCAAACAGGAGGGCAGGCACTGGCAGACCAGTTCATCCCAGTGCTCCCCAGGGTGCACTGCTCTGCCTCAGACAGTTACCAGTGTGTCAAGGGAACCCCCAGTTCTGGAAGAAGTAACTGTTTGCAAAAGGGGATTCTTCTGTATCACATACAAGACACTGGGAGGTTTGAATTATCCTGTACCAATGATTCAAAGTTACAGTGGCTTCACTGTGGGAGCATTCACTGCCTGCTCGATGAACCAACCACAGAGGCTGTGATATGTTCAGAGAAACAAGGTCAAAACTATCAAACCAAAAAATTACGCTCGCTAAACCCCTTTGAAATTAAGAATATTCATATTCATGCCAAAATTACACCACCCCCCACCTCCAACGTAGGTCTATTCCATTAATTTTTTTTAATTTGAACTGGTGAATTTTATTACCCGTTATAGATCAGCAGATGGTACCACAGCTCACAGAAGTGTCTCCAGATTTCCAGGCTATAGGTTTAATAGCTATGAGGAGTGGTAATATGAGCCTTAAGCCTTTCAACCAACGGATGCTATCATGGATATAAATGAGTTTAATGTGCCGAGAATATGAGGTTTCATACCTGTTCCTTGAACTTGGTGCTATCCTCTGACAAATAACAGTTGTGGTTGAGTGCTTTCCACCATTCCCCACCTCCTGCTTCACGTCCCACTGCCGGGGGTCACTTGTCTTTGCACTGAGAATGTTCACACCTTTCTTCACCTTTGCCCTGTTGAAAATAGCAAATTGTAAAAGGTTTACAAGAGTCATTCAGGACTGGGATCTTCGAGTGCAGCTCAGGCATGGAAATCTCAATATATCAACTTTCAGCTAAGTATTAGATATTCTTCTAATCCACCAATAAATAAGAGAGTGGTATCAAGAATGCAGATCTGTGGCAACACATCACTTTTTTTGGACAGAACCAGCTCAGTGCCTTTATGTGTTCTGCCAACAGCAGGCTGGAGTCAGGATTAAAACTGAATCTTGTAGGAAAAGCTGCACTTGAGGTTCTTTTCTCTATTTTGGCAATAATTTTTTCCAAAGAGAAATTTGTCCCAACACAGAAAACTCAGGAAGATTCTGTTCTTCTGTATCAAGATGAAGTTGTTTTTCATCATTGCACAGAGGAATGCTTCACTGGAGTTTTCTTTAATAACCCATTTTTATTCTATATGATATTCTTCTAGACATCAGTGGACAGGTTTTTGCCATTCTGCCTAACAATTCCCCCTTTAAGACAGACTCCCAAGGAAATTTCTGTTTGAAATGCCCAGCCTGGAGAGGATTTAGCTGTTGGTTAAGACAAGACTTTGTAACTCAGAGATGTTCTTACAGCATGCAAATTTCTGCCACTGTTGTTATGCCCAGTGGTAAAGTTAACTGTATTTATCTAGTGATGCTAATAACATCAGCAACAACTGTATGGAGGGTTAATTAAAGAGCACTTGCTTAATTAAAGAGCATTTGTACAAGGAATTCCCAGCAAAGGTGTTGTTTGGGTGCAGAATGTTTAGCTGCTGATCTTCAGTTCTGCTACCATGCACCAGGAGTGATAAATTAAACAAAAAATATTATTTACTGAGCAGAAATCATCATCTAACAAGATGTTGGTATCTTCTTGACATCTATGAGGACACAGCACCTACGTTACTCTAAAAAAAAAAAGTCTTTTTGCACCTTCAGCCAATAAAACAATTAAAAACTGTAGTTATGAATGACTCAGAGCACTTGTCCTCTTGCTGCAGTTTTTCAACAGCGAGACAGAACACAATTACTTTAAGGCATTGACAAAGAAAACTTTTTTTTTCTCTCAGTATAAGAGTGTAAATGCTTAATCCTCTCCTTTGTAACATGAAACACCACGGAGCTTCACAGAATACTGTCTTGCTCTTGTAAAACTGGCACAAACCTGATGCATCTGTAGTGCCTTCAAGCTGAGTTACTCAGAAACAAAACCAGAAGCAGCAAAGGAAGAACCAAATTCATTACTGAAGGTTCATTAAAGCTTCAAGTCCCATTACGTCTTCCAGCATATTACAGCTCAAAGAAATGAACAAAATAAATGTTTCAGTATTAAAACACTACTACCAATCTCAAATCTGTATAAAACCTGCAGTATGTCTTTGGAAGTCTGTATTTTAGGAGTGTTTGGATGTGTTTTAGGACACTGTTATTTAGCAACTGGAGAGAAGTAAAAACTCATAGTTTAGACACTTTGTTCAGCTGCTCCTTGAGATGGGCTCTGAAATGGCAGAACACCACTCCAAATGATGTTCCCATGTTTGGATTTTCTACAGAATTACAACTTTGTCAGCAGCTGCAAACTGCTCTTTCCACCACGTAGCTTGACATAGTCAATACCTGGGCTCCTGTTAATTAGGATGGACATTTGGTGTGGCCAAGGTTAGTGGTAAAATACACTGCCAGAGGACAAGGGGCCATGGCTACGATGCCATTTTGTTAATTAACTACAGTATGGGGCATTAAGTTGAGTGGTTTTCACATATGCCATTATATAAAGCCCATTAAAAAAAAAAATTCCATCCCAGGGTAAAGTAGGTTATGTTTAGTGAGAAAAATCAATGTTGTGATTGCACTTAGCACTGGAATTAGGGTATGAACACCCAGAAGATTGAACTTCCGAAATAAATATGCAGAAGCACCATTTGCAACTCTCCCTCTAAAAAGGGCATTGGGTTTTATATAACAAGGTCAACGGATGAATCAGAATTAAGTCAGACAGTACCGAGCCCCATACATTTTCAAATGCAGTCTGTACACATATGCTACAAATGATTTCACTGAATTTTTATTTACTTGGTGTTTTGAGTGCTAGCAAGGAAAAGTCTGTTTAATTCCTTACCAAAAGTTTGTTGACCTTGCTGTATGCTTGTGATTAAATATTAATTTTGTTTAAATCAATAGTGCCAACTTTGTACATAAAAATTTGTAAGTTATACTACCTCAACAAACCCCAAGACAGAGGACCTGGAGGCCAAATTATTTGACAGTCTCCTGTATTTACCCACCTAATATCACAGTATATATTCATTTACCATGTTTACTTAAGGCAGGCAGGTATGGTGACAATAAATGAAGACAAACAGCTGAAACAACTGAAATACAGGTTTACTTAATGTGTGGTTCCCCACTCCAACTGGGAAGTTCTTTGCCATGTCTACTTATTCACAAGTAGATGATTGTCCTCACACAGAGGCTTTTTCTACGACCTGCAAGCATCTACCAGACATAATTTGTCAGCTTGCACTTCCACCCAAAGTGGAGTCAAAACCTTCCCCTCCAGTGTTATTCTAGAGAATTTTCTGTGAGTGCCACTGAACTGTCCCTGTCACTTTGTCTATGTGCTCACCATGGTGGCAGTAACGAAACCACAGCCCCAAATCTGCTGCCTGGTGACCAAAAAAAAAAATAAAAATCACCCTTTCCTTTTTCTGGGTCTAAACACAGACCCTGCTAAGCAAGTCACCTACACGTGCACAAAAACCTGAGGGCAGCAGCTCGTTTATTTGAGGCTGATTTTCTGCGTGCTGAAAGTTCAGCACGGTTTTTGATCTCCTGACAAAAGCAAAGTTCGCCATGGAAAGATGAAAGACAGACCATCATTAAAAGAACGGCGCAGAACACCCGGGGTCAGCTTCAATCCCACACTGGATGGAGGGACTCCATCCATCTGAATGCAGGTTTTCCAGCTTTATGGACACATGGCAGCCAGAACACTGGCAAGATTTTCTTGCTCGAACTTCTAAGGTTATTAATTCATAGCACAGGAAATCTCTGGCTCAGCTTTGTCTCAAAATAACTGTCTCTCTTTAAGTCTCTCAGATGGAGAATTAAAAGATTTTGCTGGCGTGCAGAACAAGCAGCATCTCAAAGACATTACAGAGAGTCTTCAGCAGCTTACCTAGGAATCATTACTTAATTTTTGTTGAGACCAAGTGAAAGCATTTATTTGCTTACATAATCTCACAGCAAGTGAACTTCTGTAAATGTGCAATTTACAAGCAAATATTTCATTTCCAACTTGAAGCTTTCAGTTATATACGAAGATTTCCACTTAGCACCCTATTTTCATAACATGTCAAACTCAGAAATGAAGCTTCTAATTAATACCTTCTGATCAAATACAGATGAAAATCTAACTGTTCCATTTCACTGTCCTCAAATCACAAGAAAGCTCAGCAGTATTTAGACATAATACTATACAACTATTAAAGACAGGAACCAAAAGGCAATTGAATCAGCAACAGCCAGAGCTGAAGGTGTGACTTATGATTTAAGGAGCTCAAATTATAGCTTCCTATTTAAATTTAAATTTTAATCTTCCAAAACTGCTCTGGCTGTGGAAGGGTTCTGCTACCTGCAGCAGTGCTATAGAGAGGGCAGACTGCTGAGTACTCCAAACAGTTCTTCACACATATGATTTTGCTGATGTATGCTAATCCCAGAGAGCATCACCTCTCTTATTCCAGAGAAAGTCATGCTCAAAACACGGATCCAAGCAGGGCTGCACTGCCTGGGTGTGCTGTGACACAGGTAAGTACCTGCAAAGGAAGAATCTGAAGTTATGGGTAGAATAACACCCTGTGAGGCTGCTGAGGAGCTGAACAGCTCCCTGACTCCCTGTGGCCTGGCACTAACACCCAGCTGAGCACTGAGCTGGCAGCATTAACCAGAGGATGATTTAGCTTCCTGGATGGCTCACTGCAAGACCAGGAAAGCAGCAATGGCAGTGCCAGGGAAATGCAGAAGCACAAGGCAAGGGCTGCAGACAGGTCAGGACAATACCCAAAGCAGCAGCAGCACCTCTCACGTGGGGTGAGCAGTGCTGCCAAACTGCACTCCAATAGCAGGTTTACAGAGCAGCTTGGCTAGAGGAGGCTGCACTAAAGAATAGAAAGCTAAATCAATACTAAATTCCTATGACCAGTGATCTTCATAATAGCTGGAATAGTTTTCCAGACACTAAGCCGCCTGCTTCCTGTTAGGCTGAATATTCCAAGCCCTGCATCTTCTGTGCTCCTGATAAATGCCATGCTATTCCCGGCCCCGGCACGCTGTCCTTTGATCTGGGAGCAGTCTGGGTTCAGACCAGTGACCACTGCTTTGCACAGTCTCTTCAGCTCACATCTGCTGTCAGAGCTGCTGTGCCAGAAGACCTCTCGTCAGTGAGCGCTCAAAACATAAATATCAGGGGCAGAGGCAGGCTCGGTGTGACCGGGGAAGGGCTCATCTCACGAGCAGAGCGTGGGCACCCTGCACCTCCCCTGCTGGGCAAGGGCGAGGCTGCTCCTGCTCAGCTCTCTGCATCCCCACCCGTAAATCCTTGTCTCTCTGCATTTGTCAAGTTGGTGTTTCAACTTAACAAATGCTGACCCCTTTTGGTCAGTCTCCTCTGGAGCCTCGATGTTTCTTGCTACTTTTTGCTAACGGTTGCCCAGACCAGTAGAAGCCCTTGACCTTATTGACTGTAAAGGTCACGCGGTGAGAAATTATTTTACTGAATCTCCCAAAATCCAGGGAGCCTCTCCTGGTGGGCTGTTTCTGGGCTGCACTTTACAGTGAGTCTCAAAACTTCATGAGTTCTGCCAGAAAAATTTCAACTTCTTCCTGTCATAATTAATGTTCAGTCCTCTCCTCTTTTGTTCCAAGAGCAAATCAGGAGATTAAAGCCAGCTGCAGGAACCCATAAAACCCAGGCAAGAGACT